CTCGCCCAGCGGACGGGGTAAGTCTGGCGCCGCGCCCGCCGCCCCCCGCGCCCCGACACCCCCCGCCGCTGTCCCCCGACCCTCCCCACAAACTTTTGGGGGGCTCGGGAGGCGGCGGCGGCTCGGCTTCCCCTTGGCCGCGCCGCCTTCCCGGCGCAGCCGGAGCGGCTCCCTCCGCCGGCACCCCCGGCCCCGCTTCGCGCGGTCGTTGCCCCCGTCTGCTCCCCTCGCCCCCGCTCCAGACCCCCACCAGCGGCCTCCCCAGCCCCTTAGCTGCCTCCTCAGCCCGACATCCCCCCGGATCGGGGCTGGGAAGTGGGCGCAAAGAGGAGCCGCTCGCCAGCCCAGGGTAACTCTCCTGCCTTCCTTCCCCTGCTCCCCACAGTTGTTGCTCAGCTTCACCATCTTGTCTCTTTTCTCTGGTCACCGACCATATTTTTTTTCCTATTGCATAAAAAACAATAAAAAGGGAAAGAAATTCGCCGAAGGAACGACCCAAACGCAACGCAATTTTTTGGTTTTCGAGCGCAAAGTTTTCCGCTGCCTCCCCCTGCATCCGCACCCGCATGGTTTGGAGTTCCTGGCGATAATTTTGGCGTTATTTTTTGCAATTTATTTTTTCCTCCTTTGCAAAAGGACTAGGGCTGCGTTTCGTGATTGTTTCCATTTTGTTCTGGCTCTGGGAGCTGAGTTTGCCTGTGAGAGGCGCTTGGGAGCGAGGCAGCTCTTGGGGAAGCAGTTACACAGAAAGAGAAAGACGGCACCCAAAAAACAACCCCCCGAAAAAAAAGTTTGTTTCTTTCTCGCACTTTATCCGGCCCTTTTCCTTTTCGCACGATAAACGCCGGGTTGCCTGCGGTTGCCGGCGGGTCGGGGAGCGCGGGCGGGCGGCGGCGAGCGCCGGGCAGCCCGGGGAGGGTTGGCGGGGGCTGCCGCTCCGCTCTCCCCCGCTCCGCAGTTTCGGAGGAGGTTTTCCGGCGGGTGGGAGCGGCGGGTCGTGCCAGCCCCCCGATGTTTGCCGGGCGGTATTTGCAAACACTTGGCAGGTGACGGGCGGCCGGCGGGGGGAGGCGACAGCCGCCTCTCCGCGCCTGCTGCCGTGCTGCTCGCTCGGCTTCAGCCGCCGCCGCCTCGATATTGAATTCGTGGGCAAAAAAGCAGAATTTTAATATTCCGCGATCGGCAGGCGTTTAATTTCTAATTTAATTTTTTCCTTTTTTGGTGGTTTTTTTTTTTTTTTTTAACTGTCCGTCGGAGGCGTTCGGCTGCCGCGGGCTCGGCGCTCGGGGCCGGCGGGGCAGGGACGCGTTGCGCGGGACGGGGGCTGCGCTGCCGCCCGCCCCGGGGGCAGATGCCGCGGGGCCCGCACGCCGAGCGGGGCGACCACCTCTCCCCTATTCTGTCTGCCCACGTTCCCCCCCGCAGGTGTAAGGCAGCGACGTCGGCAGGAGCATGGCCCGTACCAAGCAGACCGCCCGCAAGTCCACCGGCGGCAAGGCGCCCCGCAAGCAGCTCGCCACCAAAGCCGCTCGCAAGAGCGCGCCCTCCACTGGCGGGGTGAAGAAGCCGCACCGCTACAGGTAACGCAGCGCCGCGCAGAGGCGGCCGCGGGGCGCTACCAGCCAATTCCCCCCCCCCCCCCMAAAAAAAAAAAAAAAAAAAAAAATCTCTCCTCTCCCCGCCCCACGGGACCGATGGGGCGGGGGGCGTTTCTCCCCGCCTCCGCCGCGTTCCCTCCGCGCTCCGCTCCCCGAGGCCGCCCGCTTGACAAAATTTTTTTAAATAAAAACAAAACCAAAAAGCACGGGCGCGGGTTCCCRGCAGCCGCAAAAATAACCARAAATTCCCAGGGCGGCACCGTCCTCCGTCGTTTGCCATCAGCGCCTTTCCGGGCGTTCCGGTTCTGGTGGCTACAAAATCGACACCCCTCCCCCCGCAGCGTTTGCGGCTCGGCGGTTCTTTTAAATTTTTACAGTTTTGTACCCGCGGTTATCTGGAGGCCGCAGCAGGGCTGCGCCGCCGCCAAGTTTATTGTTACCGGCGCGTTCCGCGCTCCACTCGCGGGGCCGGATCCGCCGCGGCGCTGGGCGGGCGCGGGGCCCTGCAGGGCGTGGCAGCCGCCGCCAGAGGGCGCCGCGCACCCGCCGATGCTCCGAGCTCCCGCATCGCCCTGCGCGTCCCGTCCCGAAATCCCSAAWTCCCGAAACCCGGCCTTGGGGCTCCCGAGCCGGACTCGCCGGCACAGCTGTCAAACTGCCCTCCTAGCCCTGAAGTTTTCCAGTCCTCTCTCGGTGCAGAATAGCGCCAGTCGTGCTTCAGCTCGGAGGATGGTTTTGGGCTTGGTGTAGGTATTCCTTGGGGAAAATGTGTATCGGGAAGAAGAAGTGGGTTTTGCATAGGGTATTTAATCTGAATGTCCAAGAGGGGATCTTATTAATGTATTGAAGTATCTGAAGGGAGCGTGTCAAGAGGATGGAGCCAGGCTCTTCTGCTGGTGCCAAGCAACAGGACAAGAGGCAAAGAGGGCAGAAACTGATGTAAAGGAAGTTYCACCTGAACATGAGGAACAACTTCACTGCAAGGGTGACTGAGCATTGCAACAGATTGCCCAGAGAGGTTATGGAGTCTCCTTTGCTGGTTTGGTTTTCAAAAAGCCATCTGGACACAATCCTGAKAAACCAGCTYTGGGATGACCCTGCTTGAGYAGAGAAGTTGMGGCAGATGACCCACTGTGGTCCTTCCAACCTGACCCATTCTGTGATGCTGTCTCTTGCCCTAGGTGTGAGGCAGAATTTATCATTTAGGAGAAAAGYAATAAAGTTGGTGCAGGAAAAGACAAAGCTTCCACAAAAACAAATATATTAATTTCACAGACGGACATTGTGTTTGCTAACGTATGTTGCTGCTCCAAATTTGTCATTCTGACACCAAAACTAACATGAGGAAGTATGCTGGGTACTTTTGACTGATGATATAAGAGAGAATACAAATTTTGTTAGTTCTGAATGCTGACAGTAGGGAAGAAGAGCCAGTAAAAATCCCTTAAAACCATGGTTGTGTCAGGCCTCTCTCTGGGAGGGTACCTGTGGTACTGCTGAACTCGGGGCAGCTTTGTGGTTTGCCACATGTGCCCTGAGCTGCATTGGTATCAGGTGGACAGCACTTCCAAACGTGGGCCAACTTTTCCATTGGTGAAGTGGAGCCTTGGGAGTCTTCCTGAGGGATCCCTGTTGGTGCCAATGGAAGTTGGCACAGATTGGTGGCAAGAAGGCAGCAGCCCTTTCCCAGCAGAACTGATTTTGTGTTGTAAATGCTAGGACTCGCCTAGGGAAAACAGAAGTGCTTGGTTTAGTCTGGASGATAAATCCCTATTTTTAAGGTGATGCAGAATAGGTTTTCAATGCTAATTATTACTTTTTATGATTATTTAATTTTAATAGGCCGGGTACTGTGGCTCTGCGTGAAATCAGGCGCTATCAAAAGTCCACCGAACTTTTGATCCGCAAACTCCCCTTCCAGCGTCTGGTGCGTGAAATTGCTCAGGACTTCAAGACAGATCTGCGCTTCCAGAGCGCTGCCATCGGTGCTTTGCAGGTGAGCCTTGCCGGGGCAGCCCGGGGTCCCGAGCACGCTGGTCCGGCCAGGGGCAGCGCTGGGAGTGCCCCCCCAGCCGGAATTCCCTGGAGCTGCCGCGCAGGGCTGGGGGGCCCCGCCCCATTCCCCTATTGGCCAGGCTGTTTCTAGGGTTAGTTTGGGTGCTCTCTGATTGGTGGGGCTGCARTGGTGGGCGTGGCCCGCACGGGTCGGGAGGGATGCGCACCTCAGCCTTCCCTTSCCCACGGAGGACCTGGGAATGCCTRTGGGTGCCATAGGATGAAATAGCGCAGGGGCAGCTCAGCAGCTCCTTACAGAGCCTGTAAGTGTGTTTTTGTGTGGGGGGGCTGCTTTGGTTTTGGTTTTGTTTTTTTTAAATAACCCCTTAATAAGTTAGAACAGTGCATCTTATTAAGACACTTAAGGGAAATGTGTTTCTTCCACCCCTGAGCTCTGCAGCTGGACAGGGAATGTCATGTGAAGCTGTTTCTGGCATGTCYTAATGGAGGTCTTGGTGTCCTCAAATGCTCTCTAAAGAAAAACAGCTCAGTAAGCCACATCTAAATACAGTTAGGGAAATAGCTGCTTTCCTAGGATGTAGTTGATGCTAAACACACTATTAAAATATTTTAGTTACATAACTTATTTAGAGTATACAKAGAGTAAAATATTAATTGCTCTTTCTGGCCCAAATTCCTGAATCTAAGTTAGCACCCCCGAAAAGACTCAGTTCTTATTRTGGGAACATCTCCCTCTCATGATAAAAGACACTCCTGGTTCAAGATAGGCCTTTACTGTTCTTTTAGTTGTTGAAAGATTGTTCCAGAACCTATCTGTAATTGTRGTCTGTCTGACATGCAGGCAAAATGGTCTCTTTTTAGTTAATGACTTCCAGTTGATAAAGGGCCAAGGCATATGCCATGAGAGCCCATATACTTGGGCACATGCTTAGCTTCAAAAGGTGGCTCTGTGTGCTTGCAGCGTTGCTGCTTTTCCTTTTACACATTCAGTGTGACAGTTCTTAAATCCTGAGGTTTATCCATGTGTCTCTTTATCTAGAGGTACCTAGTAAAATTTAATAGTTAATTCACTTTCAGAAGGCTCCTGGTTTGAATGTTCCCAGGTTTGCATTAAGTAGTTGTGGCTATAGAACTTGTTCACATACTATATACAAGTTTGAAAAAACAAACTCAAAAAATAAATAATCAAATAAATTTTTAAAAACGAAACAAAAAACCCCAYAAATTTTTAACCCCTTGGATGCCATGTTGTTTGTGCCAGCATGGATATTTGGTGAAGTGTCTTAGCTTTTCATGTAGTGATTTAACAAAACTTTCTTAGGGATTCCCATAACCTACTGCAAATGGAATTACTTACTGATACTACAGTCCTCATCTGCTGTAGTAAATATTCTACTTTCTTCATATTAGATAAGCTTATGTTTTTAAACAGGATCTTTGAACCTAATGAGTTGATTCCTGATGTTCCTGACAGTGAAGTTGTTCACACAAACTCTTGTGTGTATTCCAGAAAGGGTGACCTCGACCTCTTTATGTAATTGAGCCCCATCATGCCCACCTTCTAAGCCCAGGTGTTGCTGTGTCCAGTACTGGCACACTACGATGCATCCTAGGAGATTKATAGTTGTTAGAAGTCCATGTCAACCCAAAAGTGTGTAAACAGGTACCATTGCTGTGCTGGGCTTAGCAGCAGCCAACTTAATGTGAGTCAGGTCCAATTTAGGTCCAACTGAGCGTCTGTCTAACTTGGAATCCTGTCTGCAGTTGTTCAGTACCAGGGAAAGCCACCAGCACTGTTCTTGTGCTTCCAGGTGCTGAYCCCTGAGGTGAGAACCTTCTGTGACAGAGGGGGCCTGTGCTGTGTCCCCAAATAGGCAGGACATGCTTAGGCAGGAAGACAGTACAGGAACAGGAYGAGTGTCTGATGGTGATTCTCCGACTGATGTCCTGGTTTTGATGGTTCATGGGGTTCTCGTATTTCTAATAATTCTCAGAATATTTTTTCTGCTAATTTTTGACTTTTGAGTTAAGCTCAAAAGACTCTTCAGTATCTGTGGATGGAGCTGTGTGCCTGAACTGGGCGTTGTGAAGGAATACCTGCTCTTCTCTACCTTGGCACCTGCCAATTTCACCTGATGCCCAGTAACTCTGCCTCTGGAAGAGCAAGCAGACAGATCACTCAAATAGTCACTCAAACCCAGCCTTTGAACCCAGCCTTTCCTAAACAAACTAACCTTTTGATGGGATAACCCCTTCCTATCTTGTGAGAGTCCCATTGGAATATTAGCTCTTTTGTGTTCTGGGTGATTGTCTTTACCAAATGGCAGCAGTACACTACCTTTGACATATTTGGTGCTTTATAAGAAAATGGAGGCTTTTAATTTCTGAAAATCTAAAACTTTTGGTGTTTGCAATTAATAAAAATCAAACCCTCAACTTAATGCCATGTTACGTTGTACTTTTAATTAACTGCGATTCTTTTCTTCCTCAAGCTCAGAGAGTGAAAATGTTCTTAACTCTTTTCTTCCACACTAGGAGGCAAGTGAAGCCTACTTGGTTGGCCTGTTTGAAGACACCAACCTGTGTGCTATCCATGCCAAACGTGTCACAATCATGCCAAAAGATATCCAGCTAGCACGCCGCATACGTGGGGAGCGTGCCTAAGCCTCACCACGATGGGTTTGTCATTCTCGAAGCAAAATCTTCTTCCTGTTATTGGTAGTAATGAACGTTAGGTATTTTTTCCATGGGGGTTAAAAGGTACCTTTAAGTATATGGTTGCAAGTGGAAAAATAGGGGACAGAATTGGGTATTGGCAAGTTTTCTTTCCATTTTCATTTGTGTGTGGATTTTTAATATAAATGAGGGGACATAAAAATAATCAATGTGGTCAAAAAAATTAAAAAATGAATTGTTGAAACTTGTTCACCAAAACAACTTTATAAAAAAAATTATAAATAAACCTGTCAAATTTTTCTGGACAATGCCAGCATTTGGATTTTTTTAAACAAGTAAATTTCTTATCAATGGCAACTAAATGGTGTTTGTAGCATTTTTATCATACAGTAGATTCCATCCATTCACTATACTTTTCTAACTGAGTTGTCCTACATGCAAGTACATGTTTTTAATGTTGTCTGTCTTCTGTGCTGTTCCTGTAAGTTTGCTATTAAAATACATTAAATGATTGCCTGTTTTAGTCTTGATTTTTAAATATTACACACGGGTTATATTGATTAAAAAGTGATCACCCTTTTCCTATTCAATGCATGGCCCAATTACTTAGACYAGATCTAGAAAACACTGGGATACTGCTTTGGCTGAAGGAGTATATATGTGAGATTCTTTTCAGTGTGTAAAATTTGTCTGCTCCACATGAAAGCACATTTGGTGASTTCAGTACCACATAGAGTCTGGAGCTGAACTGAGCTCTCTAAACTACAGTGCTAAGAAGAAGCAATTTGTTGTCATTTAGATTCCTTTCTTACGTGATTTAGTGCTGAATTTGGAAGCATTTCTGATTTTCATGTTTTTTTAATATGGTATAAGTGGTGGAGTGTAGTGGTTTAGGTTTTTCTATTTGGGGTTTTTATTTTTCTTGGGTGTTTTTTGTTGTGCTTTTTTTACCCTTTTTCACTCTGTTAGTTCCTTGGTTTTTGGTTGACTACTTTTCTGTTTCAGTCACACCCTTTAGCATTTTTGAGAGCTTAGTCCATGTGAGCAGTTTCAATTTGTACACTCCAATCTAAAAGACACTTTCGTACCATGTTTGATACAGTTCTTCATTAAAGCACTACTTGGACATTAACACACACTTAAAAATTACTGTTTTTTCATATTCTCCCTCAATTGCTGATGAAAGTTCACATGAAGAAGCTTACTGCTGAAATCACATCCTGTGAAWACTTGGTTTTAATTTTTCCCCCTGAAATTTGTTTAAGGATTCTGGCAGACCTGTCTGGAAACGAGTTCCGTGCTGTAGTTCTTGATAGCTCTCACAGATAATGAAATGAGCTCCATAGAAAATACGTAGGCAGTGAGCAGATTTCACCTCCATGTGAAGGCTCCTRTGGAGCTTATTTGCTGCTAACTTCTTTCAAGAGGTTTTGAGTGAGCTCTAAACACGAGTGAGTTTGACTGAAGATTTCCAAAGAGGATTAATAAAGATGTATTATCTGCTTTGGTATCTTGAACAGAGAGCCAAAAATTACAGAATAAATCACATTATTCATAACTTGCTCAGCTTTGGTAATGAATGCTGTCTGCCAGGGTTGTGCAAAGTAAAGTCTATTTAAATGGAGTAGCTTGTCACAGGCAAGACTAATGCTAGACAAAATGTGATCACGTCCTTTTGATGCCAAGCAGTTCATAGCTATCAGCTAAAAATTAAGGAWGACTTGTCTTGGAGCATCCAAAACAACAGAAATACAAAAGGTGAGCAACTGAGACTTAACTGACTTAAGATGTCACTTCTGTCTACTTGATAACAACCCTGTTAAACTTGCTATCAATGCATTTCAGTATAATTAACTACTTGTTTTGTCCTGGGCTTCAGAATTCTGTTYCACCTATCAGTCAACAGTGCTGCAAGCACCTACACAAAAAAGTAATTAGGCTGGGAGGATTTTTCATTAAATTATCTGAAACTGAAGTATTGATAAGGAACTTGTTTTTTTTTTTTTTCTTCTTCCTTTCTTAGGTGTATTAGGAAACCAAATCTAGAGATTTTGGTACTCAGATGAAATACTGAGTTTTTTTCTGTTAGGGAGAATTGGGGTGAGGAATATCCCAGTTTAACTGACAATGCAGTTAAACTGCTCAAGGCAGAGGGAATCCTAGTGGAAGATGAGGGGATCAGGAAACCTCTGCAGAAGACAACGTTTTGCATGTTCACGTGTGCACTGCTCCATCTTAGGGATAAACTTGGCCTTTTTGAGACTTGTGGTTCTAGAGATGCCTCATGAATCCTGTCAGTGATTAGCTGTCTGTGTCAATGCCAAGAAACTTCAATTCTAAAATAGTTCATCTCTTTTTTTTTGCTCCCATGCCAATTGGTGTTTCCTGGGCAATTGAGGCACAGCTGAGATTTTGAACACTAGAAACAAGTTTTGGTCATGTGGACACACTGCTGTGGAGGAGTTTAACTGTTGGTTGGAGGGATGGGTGTGAAGTGGCTCRTTGTTAGTAACAGTCTTATTTGGAAGTTGAACACCTCTTTAAGATGTTTAACGTATGTCCACAGCCCAATTTCTGAATTATTTTGGTCAAGTCCTTTATAGTGTGTTTGTAAAAAGCTGGTTTTAAGGTTTATGTTTTACATAGGCATGTTAACAGTAGTATTTACTTGCTATGTGTTCCAAAGTACAAAGCCTTATTTTAAGTCGGTTGCTTTGTACCAGCAACACAAAAAGCCAACTTGCTTAATAGTGCCAAAAATTAATGTAGTAGGAAATAATTTCAGACACAAGATCAGTGGCTTTATCAAATTGAACTGTCAGTTCTTGAGAGTTTGACTAAGATGGAGCATTTCAGATTTTGTCTAGGAAAGTAACTTGCTGAATATAGAGTGACTAATACCAGTGTACCTGTTTTAGTGTTGTATCTCTGGGCTGTGTTCCTACACCCATCTACCCACATGTCAGTAGCTATTAGGTTATCCTAATCTTGAATTAAGAGAAGGAATTCCAGTGTCAGAATATTTGCTGGGTTTTTTTTTCTCCCCTTGTCCAGATCAGGAGAATATTGGGCAGCTGTTTTCTTATCTTTTGCTTGTATCTTACCCCCATGTATAATGAATCGTCCYCGGTGATGAGATGTTTTTGCACAAAGTGGATGTTGCAGACTTGTTTGTGGCAGGTTGGCCTCTAAACAGACAAATATTTTGCTGAACAAAGAGCCACTGTTTATGTATTTATTTTTTTAATCTGTGAGGAGGCTTTGATCTTTTGGCCTTGGTAGTACAATGTCAAAAAAATGACTCGGTATGTAAAAAGCTTTACATCTGTCAATAGTAGTATCAAAAAGGGATTGTTGGGACTGCACAGGCTGATCTTCTTMATGTAAGCCACCTTTCTGATTGCCTCCTGAGGAGTATTACCTGTKACGTGATTATAACTAAATAAATATGCAAGAAATTTATGTATTTTAAATGAAGARTATAGTCTAATTCTGAGAAACGGCTGTAAAATGCTGAGGCTCAGGAATGCTCTTGGTTGCAGCACACCTAGGCTGAAGCTTTCTACTCTTTCCTTGATGGTGATCCTCACTGTCCCTCTGCAGCACTCACACCAAAGATCGGGACACTGGGGTAAAATCCCAYATAGGACGARGTTGGGGTYAAAGGCAGTGTGTGTGCTCTCCAGRTCAATGTCATAGTTGCTCTTCAGTGAGAAATAAGCCTGTTTTTTCTGTCCGTCTCTCTTAAGAACACGTTTGTGGGCTTACACGTAGCTCATGGTTTGAGATGTGTGCTCACATTCTCTGCTGTGTTGTCCCCTGCCAGCAGCATCCCCCTCATCTCCTTCTGCAGGCAGGCTATTTCACACAGCAGGGTCTCAGCAGCAGGGGGACTTTGTGTTACTGAAAGCTCCTGTGATGACAGGAAGATTTAAG